AATGTTATGTGTGGCTTGTATTGGTAAAAACTATAAGAATAGTTATGTGTCTCAAATTAAGCAATTTTTATGGGTGACCTAAAATGAAGTGTGGTAAAATAAGTTTATGAGGTTCCTATAAATACCTATTGTAACTTTTGTGAAAATAACAATTACAAGGGAAAAACAAAAGTATTCCTTGAGTATTTCATTAGTGAGATATAATAAAAATTTGAGAGAAGATTTTAAGAGTGTAGTTTTGAGTTAATACACTATGGAGTTTAGGTGTACTCTTTTGTACTTTATAATACTACAATTGCACTAATAGAGGATCTCACTAGGACAACCATTATATCTTTTGTGTAATTATCATTTGAAAAAGTGAATTATTTTGTCATTCATTACAATTATTTTGTGTATTCTTCCACTTACATCTAGAAAATTGTTCATACACTTGAAGTAAATTTAACTCCAATACTTGAGTCACTTAATTCAACATGTCAATATCAAAATTTGAATTGAAGAAGTTTGATGGATCCAACAAAATTGAAGTTATAGGCATTGTTGGACTAGTAAGGTTTGACAATAATATTTAATAGTTTACTTGAATAATAAATGACATGCAATAACATATTTCTTCTTTAACCCAATATAACTCTTATAGCAAAGTCACTAACATCAAGCAGTCATCTAAATGGTCAATCCCAATTAAGTGCAACAATTATAAGTGCACTAGTTAGTTTTTCTTTCAACAAGTTGAAAGCATTAATGCATGTACATCAAATTTAAAGTCCTACTCAGCTAACAAATTATAGTGTTTTGATAATTTTTATAAAATATTTTATTAACATGCATTAAATCATGCATGACTTAAAAAAACTTTGCACACTATGCATAATAGAGGGAGATCGAAGTTTTTCAACTATTGTTATCTTTTTTCCATCTAGTTTATCTATAGAAGAGATTTTATGCTTAAACTGTCATTTATTATAAAATGATAAATTTTTCAATTTAATCGTAGGTAATCTTAGCATTTCTTCAAAATACAAGATAAATAAAATAATCAATCATCTGATGAAAAACTAAAAATAGAAAAATCACTACTGAAAATTATCATGCATTTTTCTATCAAATAAAAAAAGAATGAAAAGTATGCACATATAAAATATTACAAGGGCATTGCAAGACCAAATAACATTTTTTGGTAAAAAAAAATTTTATATGCACATATGAATTCGTTAACTATAGGTCTATTGCTATTGCTATTTAGCGGTATCTATAATATCCATTAAAAAAATAGTAGAATGAATGTCCATTAAGCATTTCAATTATTTGATCAATAAAGGATAAGGAAAAATGATCCTTATTGCATCTTTCAACTTCTTTGTTAATGCACACTCATTATCCTATAACAGTTTTATTGGAAAGTTTATTATGAATCATAGTGATTTCATTTTTGATTTAGTCTTCTTTTTAAGTTAAAATTTTAATTTAATATTTTTCATTAATAACAATCTTTTGCATGCAAAATGAAGATCTTATTTCCTTCAAATCACCAATCTTTTATTTCAAAGTTTACTTGTGTTATCTTAACACTCTGAGTAATTTCTCCGCTTCAATATCAACAAGAGTCACACAAATAATAAAATATAAGTATTTTTTGCATCCAAATAAATATATTTTATGCAAGAGAAAATAGTTTTAGCTTAATTTTAGATGTTTCTTCCTTAACTACGTTCTTTTTCTTGAACTCTTCACATGGAGAAGTAGGAAAGCTAATGATAAACAGTGATTCAAGTTAATTAATGTTTGTACTCTAGCCAGTTTCTATCGTCCTCAATTTCATTATTCAATTTCAAAGCAATGTTGCATTTTTTTTCATTAAATACAATAAAAATAATATTCTTGAGCATGCAATAATATAATTTTTGATCATTTATTCTATATATTAATATTTCTTTTTGTACATCAATTTTATACATTAATACTCTTTTAAGTAACCTAAACTTTTACTCTGATTCAAGCTCCAAAAGTTTAAGTGAAGGTCAAATTATCTATTGTAATTAACGATTAATTCTTTGATTCAAAGTTTTTTTCTTTAAATTAGAAATCCTAATGTTTTTTGTTGTTTTCAACTGAACAAGCATTAAATTCTTGACTTCTTAAGACTTTATAACTGTTAAATTCTATTTCTTGAGTGTCATTAATTATATTGCTTCATCTCAAATCCAATATCATCTTAATCTTCTAATTGAATATAAAATCTAAGATAACTATGAGTAGTCAATTCACAAAAACATTAAAAACATAAACAAACAAATAATTTTAAATAAATAGAATTAAATTAAAGTAAAATTTCATATTACATAAGATTTGTATTCTTTTTTCCTAACTAAAAAGATTAATTATACATAACAACAGAACAAAAATAATATAAAGAAAAATAAAAGAAATAAAAAATAACTCCATAAAAATTGATGAATTTAGCACTTATATCCTTGGAGGTACAAGTTATGTAACTTAAAATTCATATGGAGAGAGAGAGGACGCTGGATAGAATTGTTAACTATAAAAAATTGTCAATATTATACATGTGTTGGTTTCTATACTACATTGTATTCTGCCATATCAAAAACTTCTTCCAAATTAAGAGAGCTCAAAATATGCAAATAAAGTAAAATAAAATAAAATATTGTTAAAATCTCCCAAATATATGATGTTTAATTTTTTTTAAAATAAAAACTTTCAAATAAAAATAATTATTGAAGGTCTTTCCTTTCTTTACTCTCTTCTCTTAATTTTAACTTACAAATAAACCAACCACAATCTTTTTAACTGTCTGTCCAATGAGAACATCTTATATTCAGTTCTCTTATTAGCATTTTTAATTCTATGTTGTTTTTGTTATATTACGATAGGATTGGAGTCGGTGAATGGGTGGGTTGATCATAAAAATTGCACATGCTGTGTCCTTGAAATTGACAATTAAAACAAGAAAAACAATTCCTTTGTTGTCGTTTAAATTTTGTTTGTTTTACAGTTATTGAATTAAATTTTATGTATTTTAATAAATATGTTTACTTTTAGTTAATTTATACATATATTTTATTCATATTTAACAGCTTAAAGTTAATTTTAATATTCAATTTTAAACAAATCACCCAGGAAGTGGCCTTGGCTTGACGAAACATCGTAGCACATTACTGGTCTGAATCATTATTTGCTCAACTCAATAGAATCCACAAAGGTCACAAATCATAATATAGGTTAAAGACATCTTAATGAATATTAAGTCAAGGTCAATGCAGCGTGGAACCACTAAAATAAGCAGGTGCCAAAGAAAAGGATTGTGTAATTTGACGTGTGAGGCTGCATTGGATGAGCCTAATCCAACATTTTCCTCGTCTCTTCCTGCTCCATGGGCTAGGAATTTTGGTTTTAGCTTTTAGCTCGTGCTTATCCATTCCCCACTACACTTTTTTTGTCATAAAAGCTTTAAAGCACATCCTTATAAAACACCATAAATAACTTATAAATATTTATATGGTAATGAGTTAATAATCAATATGACAAAATATAAAATCGACGAGAAACAATCGAGTTTATATTTATTTATTAATATCATTTTTCAAAATTATTTGAGTCAATTTAAAGGGAATTATTAATTGGTAATTAATTATTTTCCTTCTGTACTAGAAAAAATATGAGAAAAATAATAATCAAATGTTAGGAAAAGATTAGTTTTAATAAATAATATTTTTATTTTTTAAATTATAAAAGTTGATATTTTTTAATTTAAAACATGTATATAGTTATAATTTTTTTTAATACATTAGAATTTTAGGAGAGATAGTAGAGAAAATTGTTAAACCTAATTAAAGATTACTTTTGAAAACCAAGTAAAAGAGGAAGAGAAATAAAATATTTAAAATATGATGAATAGGTATAGATGGAAGAGATATTATGATAAAAAGAAGCACTCTCATGTGAATAAATAGAACACTGAGGATTGAGATAGCATGACTGATTTTTAACACAGTGAATTTGTTAACCATTGAGTAATGACTATTAATATAAGCTTTGCCTTGTCCACTAAAATGGAAGACCACTGTGGTACAAGAAAGACAAAAAATAAGAGTTTTTACCAGCTAAAGAAACGTTGCTTCCATCTACTTTTTCATGAAAAAATTTCTTGAAAAAGGAAAGTGAAGTCGGAGTGGAAATGAAAATACGAACAAAAAAATGGTCAAAATGTCAAGGAAGAAGAAGAGTTATACCTTATATTCTGTAAATGACTATAAAGCTTAAAAAAAAAGATATTTATTAGAAAAGGAAAAAAAATGACGTGTATCTCATAATCTTACAAGTTTAATTCATTCAATGTAATCCCTCTTCTAAATCCCTGTTCAGAAATAAGTATATTTTATTTTATCTTAAAATCAAGTGAAAGACTCAAACTTACAACTTTTTAGACGTAACACTTTATCTTACTTCATTCAATCATTTTCTCAGTATTTATTCATAATTTAAATTTTTTTTAATAAAATAATAAAAACATATCATGGATAAAAAATAAAAGAAATAGAAATTAAAGAAAAGAACAAATGTTCATAACTTGACATTTATGTTCTAGAAATTGAGAAGAAACAAGTCAAATAGTAAATGAAGATGCGACAAGGATCCATAGTAAAAAGCAATAGACGTGCACAATGGTTAAAACTCCAAAAATTTCTTTATTTTCGGGCATTCCCATCAATAATATTTGTGCGAGACCCGCGAAAAAGAAAAACCTTAGATTTATTAGTCAGTTTGCATAATTCCTCTGTTCAAGCACTGGTTAGGATAGTGGGTGGTAGAGGGAGACTCTTCTAGTTCTGGTGCTGATTGTGATGATGATGTTGTGGCATCGCAATTGATGGTTATCGGGCAGCATGTTGGTTTAGTGATTCAAGGCAATTGAGATCAAGTCCGTGATCAATTGATTGAGATAGAGAGACGTAATCAAAATATTTCTGTTGAACATGGGATTTGGTCTGGTTCTTAACGAAGATTGTCTCTTTTAATGTTTGTGGGTTGGGGAGTGAGGTGAAGCATAAGAAAGTGTTAGGGTTTGATCATGTTGAAGGTTTGGATTTTTTGGCGATTCAAAAAACAAAACTTGAAACATAAGATCGTCATTTTTGGGCGTGTCTATGGAGTGCAGCGGATTTCGAACGAGTTGCTTCTCCTTTTGTTGGGTGTAGTGGTAGTATGCTCTCCATTTGGGACTTGTCTAAAGGTAAAAAAAATTTATCCTTTTCTAGTACTGGATTCCTTGGTGTATGCTTGCAGGTGGTGTCGAGTGGAAATTTGTGTGTGGTAGTGAATGTCTATGCATCATGTAGACTAGGAGAGAAGCGTAAATTTTGGGAGGAGCTGATTATGTCTAGGCGAGGCTTTGGTAGGTTTCTGTGGTATGTTTTGGGTGATTTCAATGCGATGAGAAAGGTGAAAGAAAGGAGGAGTGCTTAGTCAGATCATGGAATTCTAGAAATGGATGGCTTTAATTCCTTTATTCAAGATATGGAGTTGGTGGATCTTCTATTAATGGGTAAGAAATATACATGAATATGGGAGGATGCTTCTATGATGAGCAGGTTTGATAAAGTATTAGTTTCTAGTTCTTAGTTGGATGTTTGGGGTGAAGGTTTTGTTCAGGTTCTAAGCCAAGGTGTGTCAGATTATTGTCTAATTGTTATGAAACATAAGGTGGTAAATTGGGACCCAAAACTGTTTCAGTTTAATAATTGTTGGCAATCTTATAAGGGGTGTCAGGGTTAGTGGAGAACGCCTGGGGAAGAGAGGTTACACTACCCTGGGGTGCTCAGAGAGCTAGGCAGTAGTTGGAGAATTTGAAAATTGCTTTGTAAAATGGAATATGGAGGTTTTTGGAGAAGATTGAGATAGTGATCAAGGACTTAATATATGAGCTGAGCCTTCTTGATGATAAAATTTCGGTAACGAGTTTTTCTAAGGAGGAAAAAGTGTGTCAATAAGAGCTATTGAGTAATATTTGGTCGGCTAGGAAGAACAGGGCAAGTCTCTCAGCTCAAAAGGCTAGGGTGAAGTGGGGCAAGGAAGGGGATCTTAATACAAAGTATTTCCATAGCGGAGGTTCTAATTCGGCGTGGTCTAAAGTAGGGGGACCCCTTAGTCCCTTTTTTTTTTCTTGTGGCAACTGAGGGGTTAGGAATTCTTATACTCAAAGCCATGGGTAATGGTTTGTTTTCAGGTATAAAGATTGGGGGTGGGAGCCAGGAATTTCTTTACTACAACTTGTGGATGACACTCTTGATAATGGGTGAAGCGACAATGCATAATTTGTGGACCTTGAAAGCAGTCATACGCAGTTTTGAGTTAGCATCGGGTATGAAAATTAACTTCCATAAAAGCTGCATGTTGGGGGTGAATACAGGTGATGAGTTTGAAAGCTTAGCTGTTGAGTTTTTAAATTGTAAGATTAGGAGATTCCCGTTAAAGTATCTTGAGCTACAATTAGGTGTCAACTCAAGGAAGCATAGTTCATGGAAAGGTGTGATTGAAGCTTTTAAAAAATGGTTAGCCTCATGGAAGTATAAATATTTATCGATTGGTGGGAGGGTCGCTTTGATTAATGTTATCCTTAATATGATGCCGTTGCACTCCTTGTCCTTTTACAAAGTGCCAAAGTCAATGATTACAGAGTTTGTGTCCATTCAACGTAAATTTTTATGGAGGGGTGTCAAGGATGTGTTTAAAATCCCATGGGTGAAATGGGATCTTGTGTGTTGTTCGCAGACGGATGGTAGCTTAGGCATTTGCAATGTGGAGTGGTTTAACTGGGCCATTCTTGAAAAATAGATATGGCGTGGTGTTAATAGTATTAGTTCTTTGTGGGTTCATGTTTTGGAAATAAGGTATGGTAGGTTGACCTCTTCTATCCACAGACCTGTTGTAAATAATAAGTGCTCTATGTGGTGGCGTGATCTGATGGTGGCGTGATCTGATGGTGGCAATTCAACAAGGTAACTCTTGGTTACATGAGAAGCTAGATAGGTGGGTGGGGGCTGGTTTGAATACTCTATTTTAGTGAGATAAGTGAGTTGGTGGGGTACATTTGTGTGAGACTTTTCCGCATTTATTTGTGGTACCAAGGAATGTGGATTCTAATGTTCTGGAAAATGGTTTTCACGATAAAACTAGGTGGGTATGGAAAGTGAGTTAGAGGAGGAATTTGTTTCAACATGAGCACCCTACTAGTAACCTCATGTTAGAGCTTATAGACGGTGTTTACGTGAGGGGTTTGGAAGAGGATAAATGGATTTAGAGAGCTAATTCTTCAGGGTTCTATTTAGTTCGGTCTACTTATTTATTGTTATTTGAACTGATAGGCTATCCAAATAATGTTGCACCTGTTACGATGACGCTATGAGAAAGCTATGGAAAGGGAAGGTTCCTCTCAAGTGTATTATTTTTGTCTGACAATTGCTGTTGAATGCACTCCCTTGTAGAGGACTGCTAAGTAGCCGTGATGTCCATATAACTGATACTTCCTGTTGTTTCTGTCTTATTTGGAGAAAATTTCAAGTCATTTATTTTTACTGTGTCTGGTTTTGTCTATAATATGGTACTTTACTGTTCGTTGACTTGGATTTTTAGTGATTTTGCCAGCAGATATGTCTTCTTATCTTTTGACTTGGATTAATGCTGGTAGTAACAAAAGTAAACGTCGTAATCTATTTATTGTTTGGGTTAGTGTTGTGTGGTCTTTATGACTATATAAGAATAATGTCGTGTTTTCTGCTAGTGTGTTGGATGAAAAAGAGTTGTTATATTATATTATTTTGAGATCTTGAAAGTGGGTGTCACCGTTTAATAAAAAATATCTAATTACCTTTGCTAATTGACACTTGAACTCAAGTCTTTGCTTATTAAAAGCATAGAATGGTTATTTTTATGCTTCTTTGTATTTTTTTTGCTTTTTGAGAATTTCAGTTTGTTTTCTTTTTTTGTGTAAGGGTTTTGAGTATCACTTGTGCTTGCTTTAATAATATCTGTTTGCTTATAAAAAAAATGTAAAAAAAAAAAAAAACACTAAATTTTATTGTATGATTATGAAAACATTGCAATTTTTAGAAAAGTTACATATATTTTAATATTCTGTGAAATTTATAAATTGCAATTGTAGCTCAACGTGGTCGTGAAATTCGTTATTATATTTTAATAATTTTAGCAAATTTACCATGAAACTCAGTCTTATGCGAATATTCGGTTACTATAATATGGAATGAGTTGACGTTTTTAAACACTGGCCTCAGCTCGAAATTTTCAATAGTCATATTACGCCCGACCACGTTTGACTGTAGAGTTTGTGCTGATTATGAGTTTTTCTGTTTGATATGGGAAATGAAAATTTCCCGATTTCTCGTACAAAAACATCTGTTCGAACTTCTAAAGTAAAAAATGTCAATTCCACAAAACAAAGTTTAAAATTTTAAAACAGGTCATAAATGTAAATCTTTATAGAAGAACGAAGACATCTGAGTTTTTTGTTTTGGTCAAATCGTTTTTTTACGTGTAATTAACAACAACAAAATGGTGATATCGACTCGTATTCAGATGTGGAAGCCAAAATGAAGTATCCTTCTTATGGTACGAATATGAGACAGTGATAACAGCTAAGGCATCATTGTGTCCAAAGAAACTTTTCCTTTCTTTGGATATATTAGTGGTTTTAGAATACTCTTGGGTGCTTCGTGGAGAAGTTTCATGGTTAAAAAACAAGCGCACCATAGGAGAAATTTTAGAGGAAAAGACTGTTTCCAGTTTCCTTTTATTTTTCTACGGTAACCAATATTCTACCATAATATCATTCATCACCAAAACATATACCATATGAAGAAGTAAACTCATCAAGCTTAAGAAATTAATATTAAACGAGACGGTTGTTCAACATAAAGAAAATAAAGAAGAGTTTTAAAAAAATTATAAGAGAGTAGTTAAAAAAATTAAGGACCATAATTTATATATGATTCCCTAAGTTTGAAGCGCATCCCTCCTAGCTAGAAATGCTGCCAGTAAAATATTCAAGGGGGTGGTTTCTTGCTTCCGAAATCCTTCTTAACTCCTTCTATGATTCATCTAAAGCTTGATTGTATTTAATTTCTTGAAGGATTATTGAGTTTGGATGAAAAGTAAGCAAGTTTATGAGATGATGGTGTAGAAGAAAGTGTTTTGCGGTTCTGAGTGAGAATTATAGATTTATAAAAAATTAGAACCAATAAAAAATTTAAAAAATAAGTTGAATTTAGTTATATATACTTAACTAAAATATATTTAAACATTTTTTAAGATCCCCCCATTGATATTCACTTTAAGGTAGGAAGAATTATTCCTTGAGAAGAAAAAGATGATTACTTTTGCAGTCTTTTATATTCCTAAAGTTGGCCCCTCCACTATATCGTAAATATCTTATAATTTATCAGAGACTTGACTACATCGACTTCACCCACAGCACTGGATTACTTATATAATTAACAATCACATTTTTCACTTGGACTATCATTGACGAGCCACACATTTTCGCTATTTTTAAGGTTTCGGTCTTTGCACACTTGTGTAGATGAGTTTGGCAATTTGAGAGTAAAAGCCAATCCACTCTGCAGAGCTAAGAGAGGAAAGCTGAGAAATTTTCTCAACATATTTCTGTTGAGGTAACCAAACCATAGACTCTTCTCATTTTTTCTTCTTTCTCTTCCTGCGCATAGATTTTCTCTTCTCCTATGCTGTTGCTGAATTATTTGATCTGGGTATGTATTCATCTCTGAAAATATACTCATTATTATAAAATAGTAGACACTGGACACGAGTATTTCAGGCATAATAGGGAAAATACAAATATCCCATTTTCAAATAGCAGAAGAAAGTAGAGAGGAAAATAACTGAGTAAAATTAATTAGAACTCAGAGCTTTATACAAATTAAAACCAAAAACTTATGCAGACACCCTTCTCGAGAGGTTGATGATGCTTCTACTTAGCTGTGTTGCATTTTTTAAAATATTATTTAATTTCTATTATGATTTTTATTTATTTTACTAAGTATCTTATTTATTTATCATATTTTATCGAATAAATGCTAATTATTTATTAAGTTCATAAAATAATAAATTATTAAAGTAAAGAAAAAAACGGATAGAATAACAAAGTCATGGAGGTAATTGCGAAAGATTATTGCAAAGTCAACAATGATAGTATTCAACAATGATTATTACACGTCAGAGAGATAGATTCATATTTCTTCACATCAGAAAGAAGTTGATAAAAATTTTGTAAGATGAAATTATATATGTGTAAATTATAGGGAATATACTTTTCATCACACCAGTTAATTGTTTATTTTACGATTTTCTAATATTTTTTTTCTGTGATTTTGCTCCAACTTTTACAGCACTTGAATATTAGTCACAAAGCGCTGTAGAAGTATAACAAAAATAATTTGCCACTGAAGTTTATTTTGTTTTGAGCTTCGGCCTTAATAGAAGCCCAACTTTAGTTTGGTGTCGGCCATGCGTTGGGCCACGATCCAAGAGCCTATCCACAGTTCAAAAATGATAAAAATGTGAATATTATTATTATTATTATTATTATTATAAAACTAGAATATAGTTACCAAGTTGGCAGCCATCCATCAACCTCTTAAGTTAATATTTTTATTTTATTTTTAAAATGTTTTAATGAAACAATTCCAATTTTTGAAATAACAATCACTATTCAATAAGTAGCGATTTATTTTAAAATCTTATAACTTTTAAAAATATGACTTAATTAAATATTTAAAATTTTTAAAAATTATATAATTTGTACTTAATTTTTATAATTTTTTATTAAGATATATTATTTTTTAATTTTTTAAAAATTAATTTTTTAGTATTTCTAACTGATGTCGTTCAATCAAAAGTTGACATATCTTAATAAATTACAGTAATTAAAATGACTAAAATAATAATTTATAAAAAGGTAAGTATTATAATCTGTTTTCTATACAGAGAAATGGCTGTAGCAGACTCAACATCTTTACAGGATCAGTTTCAACGGTCATCTTCAGCTCACTCTAGGAGGCCACTCCTTCATCTAGTATCCACTCGTAAGCTCTCTGTTCCTTCTTAAACCTTTCCCATTTAGAAAATATTTTGTTAACTTCAAATTTTAAAAATGAATATAAGCATTTAAAAACAATATTTTTTATTAGTAAATAACACATTTATTATATTAAAATTGTAAAATATGAGAAATACTTCTGATTTTAATATGATATTTTTATTATTAGTTTTTTAATCTTTTGAGATTAACATTTTCTTTTCCCAAAATATGCTTACACACGATTGGAAATACAGCCTTGAAAGTTATAATTACTTGCGTTAATGATGGTCTCAACAGAATAAAACTAGCAATCTCTGCAATAGTTGTCAACCATATAATCATTACAAAACGGTTGTGTAAAAACGGTTGTGTATTACTATTACACAACCTACCTTATTTTTATGATTTAGTTTAAATATATTTTTAGTTTATATAAGAGTAATTAGTTTTAATTTAAATTTTTTCCTGTCTTTGCAATTTTTTTTATTTAAAATGATCTTTGCTATCATTAAGTGATGAAATAACAAATATCTAATTATTTTATATCAATATTTATTTTTAGGTGATATGATATATGATGTCACTTATATATATAATCACAAGCATTTGTAGTTAATAGATACTTGAGTTAGTATATTCTCCAAATAATTTTCTTATTATCTTACAAATAAGTATTAAATTAATAAATATATTAATTTATTAAATTGAAAGTATAAAATGAATATTTCTGATCTTAAATATAATTTCATTTTAATTACGTTTGCAATAACTATAGAGTTAATTTTATTAACGACATTAAATTTATGAACAATTTGATTTTTTTAAATTACCTTTTAAATTATTGACGTCCATTATCTCACTGTCTTTTTTATCAATTATTTAGTTTATTTTGACCAAAGGTATTTTCATGAAATAAATAATTAATGAAATAAATAACTTTTAACGAGTTTTGTAATAATGACCATGACATACTCCTTTTAAGGATCTTATATTTAAGAAAAGAAGTAATATTTAATATTTTTTATTTAGTACTTGAGAAAATTATAAAGCATAAATGTAGGAGAATTTAAAATTATTTTTGATAAGCAAGATTCGCATATCAATTAAAATAAATTATTTTGAAGACAGTTGAAACTATCAAATTAAACCAGTAAAATACCATAATCCATTCCATCATTGTATCATTTCAAAATTGAATAGATATCCACCTTAATTATTTAAATTGTAAACGTCTAAATCATAGATTCCTTAAAATTCATAAGATTGATCTATTTAGACACTAAAATGAATTGGAAAAATGAACTTGTTGCAGAAAATGAGAGACAGAGATACCTGACCCAATGTGTTCCCCTTCACAAAGCAGCACTGAAAGGTGACTGGAAAGAAGCGAAGAAAATCATAGAGAATGGTGAGAGGCTGCTAATCTCTGCAATAACAAAAGGGTGGGCCACAGTCCTTCACATTGCAGTGGGAGCAAATCATGTTCACTTTGTGGAAGAGTTAGTAAAACTAATGAGTCATGATGATTTGGAATTGCAAGACTTCAAGCATAACACTGCATTCTGCTTTGCTGCAGCAGTTGGAAATGTTCAAATTGCTGAGATAATGAGGAGAAAAAACAATTCACTGCCAACAATTAGGGGTGGTGGTGGAGGAGTTACTCCTCTTCATTTGGCTGTTTTGCAGGGAAGAAGTGAAATGGCTAAGTATTTGTTCCCTTTATCTAAAGAAATACTTGAAGAAGAGGACTGGACTACAATTTTCCTCCTTTCTTTAAACTCTGGACTATATGGTAAGCATATTGCGTTTAGATGCCTCTCAAGCATTTGTTCTGAAAAGAACACATCATTTCTATTCAAATTGGTGAGGAGAATAAAGGTTTTGAACACATAATTATGTTTTGTCATCAAATTTTGAAATCGACCCAATTTGGATTATCTTTAATTTGCAGAATTAGCCTTGGAAATGCTAAATGAGAAGGAATCGCTGGCCCTTGATCGGGGTGATAATGATGAGACAGGCTTACACGTCTTGGCTCGAAAGTCTCCTGTTTATGGTTCCCGTATTCTACGATATCAAAAACACCTCCTGCAATTTGGTAAATGCACATTAATTATAACTTCTATAAGGATTAGTATATTTTCATTTGTTACTATCTATAATAATTTTTATATATTTTTTATGCATTCTAGCAAGTAGCTGCAGAACCTTAAACAGTACTCCTCAAATTTTAAATTAATCCAGGAATTTTACAGGCTTATGCTCTTTGATTTATGTGTTTGTTTGGTGTTTAAGAAATACAAATAAAAGGTTATAACCCTGTATAGCCAAGGAGTCTTCCACTTTTTTGGGTACATCATTTATTCGTTAATTTCAGTCAAAGGTCACATTTATGTTTTTCTTTTTTGGGTCATGAAAATTTATGACATATTATAATTCTATATGTTTTGGTATAAGTACAATTTTTTATTTTATAAAATAATTTTCTAGCTCAATTGCATTTTACAGTGATGAGATTTGAATTAAATACATTGTTTAATAATTTTTAATAAAATGTGAAATTTATAACTAACCGTTGAATTATATAATATTATATTTATAATTGTTTATCTAATTTTATATAATTTAAAAATTTGTAATCATGTTATTTAAAAATTTATATTTACATATATTTTGATAATATATTATGTATTATAATGAAATAATATGATGAAATATTTATTTTTATTTTTTTATGAACTTGGTTTATACGATAAAAATTTTAAAACTAATTGTTAAATTGATAAATTTCGTATTTTATAAAAAAATTATTAATTGATATACATGTTCAAGTTTTACCTCTAATATTCACGAATTTTATACATATAATAGATGAGATAAATTAAATAATCATCAAAATAATGAAAACTTAAAAAAGACATGAATGAGAAGAATGGAAAGTAAGATAAATTAAATAAATAAAATCATAATTAGTTTCTTTTTTTAGTCTAAGGGAAGATTCATATTAGGCCTTGTGAAGGAGAGTAACTCATCAGTGTTTTGATTGGTTCTTACTCTCATAATTTAAATAACTTGTCAAATTATGTTTCCAGGTAAGGACACTCCAATTCTCAAACTTATTAAACGAATGTGGGATATATACCTTAGCTTGGATGATTCAACAATGACGTATGCCATAACAGCAGGACCATCTAAAGTTATATTTCTTGCTGCGGAAGTGGGAAATTTTGAGTTTCTATCTGTTGTTATGAGCACTGACCTGAATTTGATATGGACGCTAGATTCAATGGAACGAAGTATAATTCACATTGCTGTTTTGCATCGCCATGCTAGTATCTTCAATGTAATACATGAAATAGGCTCAATCAAAGATGTCATAGTAACTTTCACCGACAATGAAGGTAACAGTTTACTACATTGTGCTGCGAAATTGGCACCACCAGATCGACTTAACATTGTTTCTGGAGCAGCTCTTCAAATGATGCTTGAGTTATCATGGTTTGAGGTATAGTCCTAACTTAACTACAGAGATTTTGATATAATTCCTCTAACATGAGAGTGCACCTTAAAAGATTAAGCATAACAGAAAAACGTTAGTTGATTAGTTTATTGATTGGAATAAACTATTTACATGTATGTAACTATGAAGCTTTAATTTCTTAACAGTTGATTGAAAATAATTATTATTATTATATCACTTTCAATTATAAATACATGGAGTTATACATACATACATACATATATATATATATATATATATATATATATATATATATATATATATATATAAATGTGGCAGGAAGTGAAGAACATAATGCTACCCCCAGACATAGAGATGCCAAATTCTGAGGGCATTACTCCTCGTCAACTATTCACCATGCAGCATCAAGAATTGCTCGAAAAGGGAGAGACTTGGATGAAGAGAACAGCAAACTCTTGCATGGTTGTTTCAACTCTCATTACCACGGGAATGTTTGCTGTTGCATACAGTGTACCAGGTGGCACCAATGACAACACAGGAGGAACACCTAATTATTTGGAGAAACCATCATTCTTAGTATTTGCATTATCAGATGCTATATCATTTATCTCATCTGCAACCTCAATTCTAATTTTCTTGTCCATCCTTATCTCTCGGTATGCAGAAGAAGACTTTCGCAAGTCATTGCCCTTCAAGCTGATGTCTGGACTAGTTGCATTGTTTATCTCAATAATAAGCATGATGGTTGCATTTAGCAGTGCGTTCTTTATAACATATTACCATGGTTTAAAGTGGGTTCCTATCTTTATTTCTGCTCTTGCATTTGTACCAATAGCTTTGTTTATATTTCTGCAGTTTCGTCTCTGGTCTGACATAGTGTATTCAGCCTACATTTGTAGTTCTCTATTTAGACCAAGTAAACGTATGATTAACTAGAAAGACTGAACTTGACTAAATAATGAATTTCAATTTCCTTTTGTATATATGAATGTACTCTTTGAGTTAATGTATTATGCAGTTTTAAAGATCATATTGATCTGCATAAATAGAAGAATTGGATAGATACATATGTCATAATTAGTTTATTAATACACACTTGATTCTTCTTTGCTTTCTGAGAAGTCTACATGCGCATAACTTATCTTGTTTATAGTAGTTAATGGATACGCGGCAGTTTTTCTTTTTTTTTATTTGTCATTAAATATTTCATGGTCGATGACTAATGCCTTACACCAAATGAACTTGTGTGGAATCTCAAGTTCTGTGATTGTCTCTGTAGTATTAAATTTGTGGAAGAAATAAATTCACAAATAGAAGTGAAAAAGTTATCCTTCCAATAAATTAGGAGTAACTTGTCAAAACAATAAACTTGACAGAAATGTAAGATTAAGAAAAATAATGAGAACTATAGAAGAAACATAATCAAAGAGAGTAGAACTATAGGAAAAGCAAATTGAGTAGAAGTATTAATGACAAAATTATTAAATTATTAAATATAACTTAGATGTAAGGATATTTGTCAATATGCAGTTCGGATTGTGATTGGTGAAAACTCATACAAAGGGGTCAAATAAAAAATTAAAATATTTTAAAATTAATCTATTTAATTTAATTGATAATTGATAATTTAAAATAATTAATACTTATATAAAATATAAGCAATAAAAAAAACTTATAATAGTTATTTATAAAAGTTGATCTTGACGATATTTCATAAAGTAAAATTTATTAATAATTAGCTTTGCATTAAAAAGACTAGTAATGTCTTTTCAACTTAAACAACTAAACTATTTGCAAAAAAAACTCATTATTCATTTTGTTTTGGGGTCTTATTGAAGAATCTTCATTGTTGAAAATACTTTCTCTAATTGTTATAGAGACTAGAAGTGTCAAAACAAGACAAATCAATCTATAAATTAAGTAATAATTTTTTTTATTTTTTCATTATTATTAATGTATGACACAATTTAGATATAGTGAGGTATATTAATCATGTAATGACCGATTTGTAATTTTAAATACAGTCTTTCTTGTTGACTGAAATCATAAGAATAAAAATTCTTCACTAATATGCAAATATCAATAATTTAATGTGTTAATTATAATATCATGTGAAGTATTTCTTAGATAATGAAATTGTGAGAAGAACAATTCTCTACAAACATGCAAATATCATCTAGATTGAGTGTGTTAATTATAATCTCACATGGAATATTTATTACACAATAAAATTGTTAGAAGGACAACTTTCTACTAACATACAAATATCATTTGTATTGAATGTGTTAATTATAATCTCAAATGAAATACTTTTTAGACAATGAAATTGTTAGAAGGATAACTCGCTACTAACATACAAATATCATCTATATTGAATGACTTGTAATTGTTGCAAGGATTCAAAGACGTGCTCAAAGTTAAAAGTTTAATAGACTATCCATTGAATCATAAATTTAGTTCTTGGAATTGAAAATTAATTATAATTAGAAAAATATCAACTTGACAATGATATTCTACCATTACATTTGGCTAATGAGATTGACCTCTTTCCAAGATATATTGTGCACCCATATTAGAAATATTAGGAATCTTTATCTCTTGTTTTTTATAAAATATTTTATCATTCTCTAATAAATTAGACTATTCAAATAAAGGAGTAATTTTGTAGTAAAAACAAAATTCATTGCATTTAAAATATTTAGAAACCGTGATTGCAATGCTTGACAAAAAATATCAATGATTCCTATGATCTCAAACATCAAGTGTAATATGAAAACTTTTATGTGTTTTTTAAAAACATAAAAAGAACTTGTATCTCCTATCAATAACTATGATTTTCTTTGTAAGCTAGTGGAGGGACCATAAATGAGAAGTCCACAAAGTGTAAGTAGCAAACAACAATCCATTGTTGACTTGTGATATTTGCTATGATACTTGATGCTCCTACAACGTCACGTTTCAATTTCAAGCACTCCCTCAATGTCATGATTTTAATTTCTTGCCTGCAATCTATTATTGAAATAATAATAATAATAATAAATTAGCTAAATGGGATTTAAGATAAAAAAAAATTATGTGTTTTTTTTTTCTTTTGTTTCTTCTTTTTTTTTTTTCACCCAACATCATCGTGGAAATGGGATTGTGAATCATTACCATTTGAATTTCCTTTGCTTTGGGAGTTTGCCTTATACATGTAAAAATTAGGAGTAACTTTTAAGGTAGTGGTGGAAGAAATACAAAATATACTTTATATATATATATATATATATATATATATATATAATGTTATATTTTCTTTAGCAAAGATAATACTGAAGCACTATTTATGTTTCCTTTATTTTAATATGGAAGAAAAGATAATACGAAAACAATATTATGTTTTTTTTCTTACACAATGATTCTATGATAAACTAGCAAATAAAAGGTATAATTTACCTGTAACTAATTAATTAAGTTACCTGTACACGCGCGCGCGCATATATATATATATATATATATATATATATATATATATATATATATATATATATATTACAGTAAGATAGTCTCTAATTTATCCTGGCCACAAAAAATGCTTGCTGAGTGTACTGTTGCCCTCCACTCTCACAAATATTCTTTCTCATCCGTTCTTCGAAGCAACATACTAAGCATAAAGGGTAGGAGTAGGGAACTTTAAAAACGTCCCTTGGAGGTTTCTAGGGGACAATTTATGTTGATGATTCCACTGTGTCAGATTAGATGCAATTACCAAGACCTAATCTAATTGTGACACAACACTTATCTTCCTCT